AGAGCTATATACACATGCCACATTTTTTTAACTCAAGGAACAATGCTTAGTTTTAAGGACTAGCTCCACACTCACTTCACATTCTTAGCAAAACCACACACAAATCACTCATGTGGAACTTCAATTAAGCTCAAATTATATTATGGGAGCTTCCAAACATAAGGATGACTCGACAATGGTGTAGACTCAAAGAAAGTAGGGTCGTTTTATCTATATCAATCAATATCAAGTAGCGAGAGCTACCTAACACGAGAGCGACCCATAGAAACATGGCTCAAAAGGGGCTGACTAAGGGATGATATGATCGGGTCGGTCAACTTTTGGGTTGTGGAATAGTCCTATGCCTCCACCTTCCTCACTAGCAACAACGTGAATGCTACACATCATGTAACGGGAGATCTATCGCACAAGAAAGAAACAAACAACACAAGTCTCACAAGGCTACCTAGGTGCTCAATCATTCGTTGTAACTCCCTAAACTCCATGTATAGGCAACTGTGAAAAGCAAGTAATCCATTCAAAACATCTATTGGTTCACAAACACATGAGAACTGAACCTATGCACAAACCTAATACAAGTCTCAATCGTCATAATAGGATGCACGCAATCATAAGCAAATCATCTATAGGTATCCCATTAGAAGCCACCATACTTGAGTTAATAGGTATCCCAATAGAAGCTTCATCAGGATTCAGAATGTCATTGAAGTCTCCAGCTACCACCTATGGAAAACCTCTTACTACAAAAGGGCTAAGTGCTGAGTACATTGATTATCTATCTACTTCATAGTTGGATCCATAAATTGCAGTAAAAAAGAAGTTGGTTCCATTTTGTGCCCTCACTAACATATGCATATAATAATCAACACTATCACTAATCTTGACTTTTGCAACCCTTTCATCCGGAAAAACCAAATTATGCCTAGAGGGGCATGATTATAGTTGCGTTTGACCTCATAATCATCAAACTTCACAATTATTTCATGTGAGTTACTAGCTTGCACACGACTTTCTAAGATTACACCTACCTCCACCTTATATCTACCTAGGTAATCAAGCACAGAAGCATGCTTGGAGGGGTTATTGATGCACCAATTGAATTCGGCCTGTAACATTGTATTAGAGGGTAATTGGGTGTCCCATGATCTAAAATTATATGGACTTTAAACCCATCCCTTTCACAAACTTGACTACCCAGTCTCTAGCTAACCCTTCATCAAATGATCATCTAAATTCTCTTGAGTCCGGACATACTGTAAAGACACAACTCCGAGAGTGATCAATTCACGAATTTTACTATGTCTTTCTCCCAAATGGCGAGACTAGCCATTATAAATTTGACTATATGCCTTAGCCAAAGTAGCATTACTATCACAAAGGATTGAAATTGGCGAGATTGGTGTAGGCCATAAAGGGATGTCATAAACCAAGTCTCTCAACCACTCTGCCTCACCTCCGGCAGAAGCTAATGCCAAAAATTATGACTCCATAGTGGAACTTGTGATGCAAGTTTGCCTTTTAGAAGCCCAAGAGATGGCACCTCCCCTAAGCAAAAAGACCCATCCCGATGTTGATGTATGGTGTTGAACATCAGAAATCCAATTAGCATCAATGTATCCTTCCAAAATAGATGGAAATCCACTATAAGTCAAAGCATAATGCATTATGCCTTTGAGATATCCTAGTACACGTCTCACTGCATGCCAATGATGAGCACTAGGATTACTCGTATACTGACTTAATTGTCATACCGCATATGCAATATCTGGTCTTGTGCAAGTCATTGGGATTTTTAATTCACGAAAACCTTCACTATGAAATTTATCAAGTACCTTCTCAATGTAATGAAATTGAGTGAAGGCTACTTCCTTGTCGTTCAGCTTGGTCTTAATACCCAGAATCACATCTGCCTCCCCCATGTATTCATGGAGAATTTCGATGACAAAAACTCCTTAGTGAGGTCCACTTGTCTTTGATTGGTAACAAAGATAAGCATGTCATCTACATACAAACATATGATGACGCCATTTCCATAATCATCAAAATTTTGTATATACACATTGGTCAGCTTGGTTTAACTTAAAACCACTAGACAAAAGCACCTCATCAAACTTTTGATGCCATTGTTTTGGAGCTTGTTTAAGCCCATACAATGATTTGATCAATTTGCACACTTTATGCTCTTGACCGGGCACAACAAATCCTTCAAGTTTTTTCATGTAAATCTCTTCATCCAAAACTCCATCCAAGAAAGCTGTCTTTACATCCATTTGATGGATAATTAGATTGTGAATTTACGCAAGAGCAATCAACAATCTAATGGTGGAGATTCGAGCTACAGGCGCGTAAGTATCAAAGTAATCAATCCCACATTTTTGTCTAAAACCTTGGATTACCAAACGCGTCTTAAACTTGTCAATGGTCCCTTCGACTCTTATTTTCTTTTCGAAGATCCATTTACTACCCAAAGGTTTGCATCCAGGTGGTAAATCTACCAACACCCATGTGTTGTTCGCCATGATGGAATCTTTTTCATCATTAATAGCTTCCTTCCAAAAGGCAGCGTCACGAGACTTCAAAGCTTCATCAAAAGTTTTAGGATCATCCTCATTATTAAATGAATATAAATATTGTGACTGTACTTCCTCTCTAGACCCTTCAACAAGATACATGTGAAAGTCAGGTCCAAAAGATTTTTCAATCTTTCTTCTTTTACTTTGACGAATAATGGGTAAATTCGATTGCAAAATATCTTCCTCAATCCCCTCATTGACATGAGGAAACTATGTCTCTTGGTCGTCCCATTGATGAAAATCAATTTTCATCAAATATGGCATCTCTTAACTCGATTATAGAATAAATTCAGTAAGCGTCATTTTGTTCTATAACATAGAACCGATATGCCTTAGAATTTTCAGCATATCCTACAAAGATGCAATCAATGCCTCTTTCTCCTAACGCCTTCCTTTTAGGATCCGTTAGTCGCACGAATGCCCGACAATCCCAAACTCGAAGATACTCAAAGTTTGGCTTTTGTTTATACCATAGTTTATAGGGTGTAGTAACATTCCTTTTATTGGGATCCTATTTAATAATATCAAGCCGTTAGCATGGCTTCCCCCCCCCCCCCCCCCCCCAAACCCCATTACTCAAACCAGAGTAAGAAAGCAGGGAATTGACAATTTCCTTTAAAGAGTGGTTTTCCTTTCCGCTGTCCCATTTTGTTGAGGGGTAAACGGTGTAGAGGTTTCATGTATGATCCCCGTACTTTAGAAGTAAGCCGGATCATAGTATTCACCACCTTGATCCGTATGCAAAGTTTTGATCTTTGCTTCTTGTTGTAACTCCACTTCATCCTTAGTTTGCAACAAGTACACATAGCAAAACCTCGATAAATCATCAATAAAGGTGATGACATATTTCTTACCTCCTAAAGTTGGAGTGACATGTAAATCACATAGATCACTATGTACAAGTCCAAGCACCTTAGACTCCCTTTGTACGTTTATAAACGGTTGTCTAGTGATTTTTGTCAACATACAAGTTTTACACTTATCATGTTGAGCATCAATAGAAGGGAGAATTCCTTCTATAGACATAGTCATCATTCGCTTATAATTCACATGTCCCAACCGTGCATGCCATAAAGACGAATCAATAAGGGTAATCATGTAAGAGGAAATTAGATTATTAATTTTATTATTAATATTCAACATAAACATACCATTATTATAATAACCAAATCCAACAAACACTGCGGATTTAGATAATAAATATCTATTAGAGTCATAAACTTGACCATAGCCAAGTTTATTTAGTACAAGTTTATTATAATATCTTAGGTACATGTAACGCATCCCTAAGTACAAGAGTCTTCCCAGAAGTAAATTCCAACTCCACGATTTCACGTCCTCCGATTTGAGCAATTGACTCATTGCCCATGTGAAGAACAAAACCGTCTTCCACTGGTTTGTAAGTTTTGAACCATCTGCGATCCTTGCTTACATGTATGTTAGCTGCAAAGTACACCCACCAAGCAACATCATCATCCTTTACATTGTTACATACACTACCCCCCCCCCTTGGGACTCAACGCCCTCGTTGAGGTTTGCCCCACCATTGTTCAAGAGGGACGCGGAGAGGCTCTGATACCACTTGTAACATCCCGAACCTTTTCCCGACAAGATACTGTCCGCTTTGGGCCTCTACACCCGTAAGGTCACCCATCCTTGTTGTACTCCACATTTGAGCACGTTTAACTTCGGAGTTTTCACAAGAACTCCTCCATTTCACCCAAAAACGCATCTTGTCAGTTAAGGCCGGTTTCTTACTTATGAAGCATGGATCTCTCCTGTGTTTTGTCGATAGTGGGATTTGCCTAAAGTGTACCGGGTGTGACATTTCCCTCTCCCATAAGAAAATTTCGTCCTCTAAATTGAGGTTATAAAATCGAACATATGGATATCTGAGTCCCCGCTCTTATTCCCGCCAAAAGATAACAAGCTAATGAAATCTACCGATTACAAGGGTATATCAAGAAACAGCTCTGGGTATTTCTTCCTCATATCTTCCTCGATCTCCTAGGTAGCTGCTTCTGTACCTTGATTCCTCCACACCACCTTCACTATAGGGACCTTCTTTCTTCGTAGTTCCTTATCATGACAGTGGTGTGGAGGAATCAATGTATGGAAGAAGCTACCCGGGAGATCGCGGAAGATATGAGGAAGAAATACCCAGAGTTGTTTCTTGATATACCCTTGTAATCAGTAGATTTCATTAGCTTGTTATCTTTTTGCAGGAATAAGAGCAGGGACTCAGATATCCATATGTTCGATTTTATAACCTCAATTTCGAGGACAAAATTTTCTTAAGGGAGAGGAAAATGTCACACCCGATACACTCATACCCCTGCGCTTCCTAAAATACCATTTCAATGCAATTAACCCTAGCTAAACCCCTCCCACCCTCGGCTCACCCTTTCCCTTTAGATTGACTTAAAACTAAAATTTATGGAGCAAAATCCAAGGCTCCGCAAACTCCATCCCACCTCCATCGTGTAAGACCCAACCGCAAATCACCGGCGTGAGTAGATGCAAGAAGAAGTTCTCTGCCATCTCTCGCCACCTCCCGTGATCTAAACCAGCAGTGACGACCGGGATCAGGGACAAACAGAGGCAAGAGCCAACCTCGGTTTCTGTCTCGCACCGTCGCACGCCAACACCTCCCCGCGCCGCAACCGCGTTGTCGTTCCGTTGTCCCCAACTCGTCCGATCCCGTCCTAGGAGGTAAGAATGGCGGGGCTGGCTTTCCTTTCTAATCCCAGGTCGAGCTTTAGCTGGCCGACTCATGGTTTTGTCATAGTGTCAACAGCGGCGAAGGAAGGAACGTAGACGTCAGCTACCAAACTCATCTTCTCTCCGATCGACCCAATTAACACCCTCGAATTCAGTCCTTCTCCTTGAACTCTAGTGGTAATGATCTCGATCCCAACTTGTCTCCAAGCTCGGTTTAAGCCTTGAATAACCCAAAGCACGTAAATTTGATCCTAGCTTCGATGTCGGCGTTGCACGGGGTTGAACGGCGTTCAAGCAAGGGGAGAATTACGCTCGGGATCATCAAATACTGGTGTGGAGTTGTGTTGGAGGTAACGTATCGAATCCCCGACGTTTAACCTGAACCATAGTGGATATATGCGTTCATGCTTTTCAGGATTTTTAGCGACGAAATTTACAGGGCTTTAGTGAAGGATTTTGAGTCGTCGCTAAAAATTTTGGGAATTTCTAGATAAGTCCTCTTAGATTTAAATGCAATTGAATTGTCCCTGAACTTTGGTATTTTACCAGGAACGCCCCAAAGTTTTATTTGATAGAATTGATTCTTATATAAACCAAATAATAGGAGTGCTAGTGATTAGTAATTTATAAATTACTAATCCAAGACTTAGGAAGTAAAACCATGGACCGTATAGGTAAATTGAGTTTGTAATTGATTGTTTAGTTAATATGTCTTAATTCATATAGACCAATTATAAATATGCTACTAGTTAGTTAATAAGGTATGATGAAATTCTTTGTATATATATTTTATAAGTTAGCACGTAAAATCCTTATTTTAGCAGGATTCTTAGAAAGACCTAATGGATAGTCACTCTTGTGAAATGTGGATAGTAAAATTCAATAATAAGTTCAAGATATTAGGAAAATTCGCAAGTCAAATTAATAATGAATTAGTAAGTCCTTACCTCGCAAATATCACGAGGTAGTCCCAAGCCATGGAAGATGTCGCTAGAACTCGAAAATCCCACCGATCTAACATCGGATTCCGCCATAGGTTGATAAAGGTGGATTACCACTTGGAGCACCTACCTAGGGTTGTCTTTCGAGTTCAGACTTAAGTAACTAAGGTGCGTGGTTAAAGGGGGCTAGATTTAATTTTCAAGTTATGTGTATGCTTCGTAATGCTTTCGATTATGGATGTTTTACTGGTTTTCCATGTGTAAGTTTCAAGCTATCATAGTTGCACGTTAACAAGCAAGATCATGATTTAAAACTCAACTAACTGGCTGCGCACACGATCACCTTCCTTCCCATAATGAGGAAGTTTATCAGGTTCATAAGGTTATCAATCTTATCGGGTTCTCTTCCCATTGTGAGGAAGTTTATCAAGTTTATCACGTTTAGGTGGTTGAACAATGGCGCTAGTTAGTTTGACTTCAGGGCCCTTTTCAAGTAAGCTAAATGAGATTTCTTGATCACGCGGGTTCCAGTTCTTTGTTTTCATTCCTCCTAAGTCATTGAGTAGTTATCACGTTATTTTAAGATAAACTGCACCTAGGACCGACCCCACACCCGCACTCAGGAGCTACTAGGGAGCACGAACGCACAGACCAACCGCTGGGACACCATTGCTGCTCAGGATGTCATCGGAAGGGTTAGTGGCCGAAAAAGCTTCACCAAGGGCACCTTTTACTTAATGAATTTCCTTTTAGTAGACTTGAGACAGATGCTCGTTTGTGTTGAATCGACAAGGATTGTTTCTGTTTGAGATTTGAATTTTTAGTTATGGACGATTTTCCGTTTTTTCTCCTTTTTCTCGGCAAATGATTTATTTTGATTCTTTAAGGGAATTTTGGTAAATTTAATGACGGGCCGGTCTAGGGGGTTACATTTTCTTGTAACATACCAAACCTTTAACCCCAAAACGCGTCTTGTCAGTTAAGATTGGTTTCTTACTTATGAACCATGGATCTCTCCCGTGCTTTGTCGATTTGAGATTTGCCTAAGGTGTTACATAATTCATACCCGAATTTGGATCAAATTCAAAATCAAAAGTGGAAATACAACCTTGTGGGTCTTGATCGTTAGATACTTGCCCAACATGACGATTGTCACTATTCTTTGATTTTTCCATGGGACAATCACGCTTGAAATGCCCTGATTTCCCGCATTTCCAACAAGTAGGCTTAGCTTTCTAGTTTTTGTCGGCCTTGGATGAGTTGTAGCCCTTGTCACGAGAATGTTTCTTTCCCTTATTTTGGGAAGAAGATTCTCCAATCTCCATCATGTGAACCGATGTAGATTCATTTGGATTCATACCCTCTTGCACCCTAAGGTTCTCCTCAATGCGCAAGTGGGTACCGAGTTGGGTTAAGTCCAACTCTTCCTTCTTGTGTTTAAGAATATTCTTAAAGTCTTTCCAAGAAGTTGGTAATTTGTCGATTGTGCTCGACACAGTGGTCGCCTCATCCATGTTCAGATTTAATGAGTAAACTGACCGTAGATTCAGAGCAATTCATTATATTGCTCCATCAATGGGCGAGAATCGCTCATCTAGTAAGTGTTGAAATTACTTACTAGAAACTTCTTGGTCGATGCATCATCGGCCAAATACTTTGCCTCTAATGCATCCCAAGATAGGAGGCATTGACGTACATTTCATAAATGTCGAAAAGGGAGTCCGAAAAACCATTGAGTATGTGTCCTACACAAAGGTAGTTGTCGTTCTCCCACTTCTTCATTTTACGAAGTCGCTTCTTCAATTCCTCATTGTCGACACCTTCCTCCTCCAAGTTACCTTCCGGACATGGGGTGCAAAACACATACCCCCCCTGAGAGTAGTAAGAAGAAAACACATCTTCTTTTGCCATCGACGGAAATGTTCCCAATTGAATTTCTCAATTTTCCCATGGAGAGAATGTTCTTTTAAGCAGCAGTATGAGCCATCGTACAAGAAAAATATTCTTTACGATTGTTAGAGAGAAACTAAGGGAGGAGGGTATTTGTAAGAAAGCCCGAGACCGGGTGACAAGGATTGTGATAGAGTCGTGAACAAAATTCACTTTCTGTAACGAATATTTCCACCCTCCGAAAGCCTAGGGTTATAGGAAATTTCTTCGAACGATAAAACTATCACCCATTTAGAATCTATGCTTAAGAAAGTAAAACACACTTAGAAGCTTTTGATGGAAGAAGAAGAATGTATATGTTTCTGTCCTTTTTTTTTGTCCCATTGCTTCACCCGAGCCCTTCTATCTATAGATAATGAAACATTATATTGCTTCATCCAAACCATGCATCGTTTCAATTAAAAGGTGTTTTTATCCATGGCAACAAACATTTTATGAAGGGTCACATTGCTTAGGCAGCAACTATTCACAGAGGGACACACTTAAATGGGAGGGAGGGGAAATGTCTTTTTGTTCATTCAAATTCCACAATTAATCACGTGAACAAATTATGAAAGGTTGCACTAATTTAATTAATCATGTGGAGACAAAATGAAGTTGGTTAATTCAAATTAAATGGAAGGATGACTTGCTTCATGAGCAGACTCACCTGTTCAATTATTAAACAATTCTTTCCATGTAATTTTCCAACACAACATGCGCAAGAACGAGAGACAGATAATATAAAAAATCCGAAGAAGAAGAACAAAGTACAATCCATTGATCCAAGTTAACCTGGCTAGTGTGTTGAGTCTTTTTCGGTGCGACTGCTTGTAGATGGTTGGGTCCACATGAGAAGCTCCAACACAAAAGGTCTACAAGGGTGAGATGCGTGAGATATTCTATACTAAGAGAAGATAATGTTTTTGCTTCTTCTATAGCAGTTTTCTTAGGCATCCCTTCTTTAGCTAAGCACCAAAGAATCTTTCTAACTAATTCTGCATTGTCATAGGTTTTTCCTAAGGAATTAAGTCTACTTACTATTAAATTGAACCTTACATACATGTCCGAGATAGACTCAACTAGGTGCATTCTAAACATCTGATATTCATGCACCAATTGATAGATTCTTGATTCTTTTAACTCAATTATTTCTTCATGTGATACTTCTAAGGTTTTCCAAATCTGATGAGCAGTCTTGCACTGATTCACCTTATTGAACTTGTCTGGACATATTTCACAATATACGTTAGTTGCCTTAGCATGTAATTCCATCTTCTTTAGATCATCCTTGGACCACGTATGACTCATTCTAACTACACATCCCAATCGTCGGCCAAGTATAACCGCCAATCGGGTGTAGCATAGGGAAAGCAAGCAATAATAATTTATCGTACCACGGAGATCTAGGCTTACCCTACTTCAGGTTTAGGGTTCGTTATCAAGCTAACCTAGAGTAGTGATTAGGAAAAAAATAAACTAACCTAGCTATTTACATGGTAAGGAGCTCTCTTGGGTTAAATCCACCTATTTCCGACCTTTTGATTGATGTTGAGTATCCTCCTAGCTCGATCGACTTAAATACTCTACTATTTGGAGATAGACTACCTAGGGATCGACCCGGAATGGCGTCGAGGGATGAGTCGATGCTCTATTCAACCTAGTGTTTCATATATTGCTAGGAAGTAGATCGAATAAACTCCCTCGGGGATTATCCGGATAATATACTATAGGAGTGACCCAAAGACACGAATAATGGGCTCTAAGGTGATTTTCTCCCTCCTAGGTCAAAAGCTCAATACATGAAAATGGAAACCCAACTCATGTCATTCATGAAAACATCAATAAATTAAGTAAAATCATCAATCAAACATGTAATTAAGAGGGTGAGTTCCTAAAGAGAGAAGAGATAAATTACAAGTTGGAGCATAAGATCTGCTTCTTGTTCTAGGCTTGATTCCTTGCTTCCAAAGTTTGATCAATGTCTTCAATTAAACTCCAAGATCACTCAAGAACTCTCTCTCTCCCCCCCTTCAGTGTTTTAGGTCGAAACCCTAGAGAGAGAATCAATTTCTCCTCCAAAAACAAGCTCTACCTTCTCTCTCCCCGCAACTGTCTTTTATATAGCCGGAAAGTGCAAAAGACATTAGGGTCACTGTTTACTGCCGTGACATCGGAGGCCAA